AAGACCCGATTGGAATGTCGCCCTTCAGATTAGTTTTTGGAAAATCTTGTCATCTTCCCTTCGAGTTAGAGTACCGAACATTTTGGGCAATCAAGAAATACAAGTTCGACATTGACGAGGCAGGAAGGCATAGGAAACTTCAACTCCAAGATCTAGAAGAATTGAGAAATGAATCCTATGAAAACGCAAGGATTTATAAGGAGAAAACGAAACTCTTCCACGACAAGTCCATCACCCGGAAGAGTTTTGAACCGGGACATAGGGTCTTACTTTACCATTCACGGTTGAAGTTATTCTCGAGTAAATTAAGATCAAGGTGGATTGGCCCATTTGTTGTAATAAAGACTTTTGACCATGGAGCAGTCGAAATCCAAAGTGAAGAAACGGGATAGATTTTCAAAGTGAATGGACACCGATTAAAGCCATTCAATGAAGGTTTTAATGCAAGTGTTATTGAAATCATCCACTTGGATGTCCCGGTGTGTTGAACCAAGCTAGAAGGACGTCTCGCCTAAGACGTTAAAGAGGGGCATTTTTGGAAAGCTTTATGCTTTCATGTTTCTACATTCAAATAAAGAAGTTTTGAAAACGTTTTGATGCGTCTTTTGAAGTCATTTTTGAAGAAATCAATAGTTTCTAGATGTTTGGGGCCTTCCAAATCAAGAACTAGTGAAGAAACAGAAGAAAACGGAGAAAAATCAAGAACCGGGAGCAGGATGTTGCGCGACCCGCGCACGGGTGCACGGCTGGTGTGTGCGGCTGGCCTTCAACTTGCGACATAAAAATAGAACCTAACTGCATATGTTGCGCGACCCGCGTGCCCCCTCTGCGCGACCCGCGTGCTGCCCTAACGACCAACCCCTATTTTGTTGACCACCTTTGACTTTCGTTGACCAGGTGGTTTAATGAGTTCACCAACGTTGACCGGGTGTTGACCACACTTGAATATGGATTGAAAAGCTCCAGCAACTCTTCTTCCTCATTTCATTCTCTCAAACACCCACCATTCTCTCTTAAACTCTCAAGAACACATAAACCCACTTTTCACTAAAAATTGATTTCCTGGAGTTCTACCGGTCGGAATCCGACGAGCCCACCGCCATTCTTCACCATTTTCAGTGCTCTACAAACCCCTCCCAAACTTTACTCTGATCCATTGCCAGGTTTAGGGGCGCCACCACCACCCAACTCGCCGTTTTCCGGCCATTTTCCGACCAAATCCGGCCACCTCTCACAATTCCGACACCACCAAATTGTTTCTTTTTCAAAGCTCTTTACATCTAACCGAACAAAACCTCTAAATATCATGAAAAATTTTCCCAGGATTTTTGAGCCACCACGAGCCGCCGCTGGATTTTTCACACAAATCAAGTTGAAAATATTCTATCAGTGAACAAGTCTTGCATTTTGGCACCCACGAATAACCAAAAAGCATGGGGTGCATGATTGTGTATACAATCTGTTCCTACAAATGGGTTGGCATGGTTTTCTTCGACTTTGTGACAGAACTTACGAGGAACCCACAATGGAATTTCTTAGCACTTATGCACGAGATGATGCAGCGGGAGTCCTCACATTCTAGTTGAAAGGGGAGCATCATAGGCTCACATACGAAGACCTTGATTCCATCATGGGTATAGATGATCCATTCCGCATCAGCCCCCAAAATCAAGGGTACCAAGATTTTCTGTGTAACCCAGATGCACGCTTTTGGATGCAAATTTCCGGTCTCACTACCTTCAACCCGAGCTGACAACGTGCCAAGCACATTGTTTACCCCTGCTGGCGAATTGCTCATCGAGTTCTCACGACAAGCATCTTCGGGCGTCTTGAGCCCGGTCAAATCAACAGATGTGAGCTATTTTTCCTCCGAAGCATGAGGCGTGCACTCCCCCTCAGTTTTTCAGGCTTCTATTTAGATAAATGTGAATCCATACGCCAACGTTCTACAGGGGAAATTTTCATCGGGGGACTTATCACGATCATAGGTCGAGCTATTGGCCTAGACTTCCTGGATCCCGAGTACGTACCTGTCGACACCCCACCGAACTTCCTGCTAGACTGTGACGCTCTCATCCGGATGGAGATGTTGCTCGATCGGGGAATCCACACGTACAATTTGTTAGACTCTGACAAAGCCCCGGTTTACATCCTGCCAAGTTGGATCGGTTCTTCATTCGACACAGGCGACCCCGACACTTGGCTTCCTCCAGATCAGTTGATCCAAGCATGTGTATTCCCAAAATTCAGTGATGATGAGGGTGACGACGCAGAGGAACAAGAGTAAGAAAATGATGAAGAGGACGACGAGATGCCCGAAGCTGAGGACCATTTTGACCAGCCTTCGATGCAACATCCGATGTTTCAGCATGACCAATTCCAGGCTCCTACACAACGTATTGACCAGCCGCATCATCCGGGGGGACACAAAGTCCCACCATATTTCCCCCTACGTTCTTTGACCAATTTGCCACAATGTTCTCCACGGTGCAGCACATCGACACCCAAACGCAAGATAATACGAGAGCCATCCAAGATGTGGCGAGTCGCGTTGATCGATTGGAGCAGTCATTCCCTCCCACTTCCCGCTAGGTCCAGGATATGTGGGACTACCACTATCGCCATGGGCATTTCCCGCCGCCCGACCCTCCGATTTAGGTCCTTTCCGC